ATAATTTTTTTTTTCAATGAATTTTTTTTCTAACTAATACTAACCGATGGGACAATTGGTAATACTACTTTAAACCTTAAAGAGGGGATTGTAATTTTCAAAATGTGAGGGGTGTCAATGTAATTTACCCAATGAAGAAAAAATTGATATTTAAAAAAATTAAATTGTTGATGGGAGGAATCTGTAATGAAACTTTAAACCTCAGAGGGGGAGATGTAATTTCCAAAAGGTGAGGGAGGAACTGTAATAAACATAAATCTCAGAGAGTATCAGTGTAATTTATCCTAAAAATAATCTGTTTACTAAAGTGAGGTAGGTATCTTAAGTTATCTTTAACGCTCTTTCATGTCATTGAAAGTAGGGCTGTACACGGTTTGGATTGGTTCGGTTCTGAGAAAATTCAAGAACCAAATTGATCCTAACAGTCCTGTGATTTTAAGAACTAGACCAGACTAGACCATTACATTTGTAAAACCGGACCAAAATCAAACCGAAATAACGGTTCGGTTTCGGTTTGGTTCACGGTTCCAAAAATTTCTATTTACAAGAATAAATTGTTAGTATTAGCAAAATAATTATTCAAACTAATTACATTTGACTCATGATAAAAACTAATAATATTAAGGCATTACTCAACATTATATATTTATATCATCCTAATATCATTAAAATTACAAAAAACCAATTAATAAAAACAAAACTTGATATTATATATATATATATATCTTTTAAAATTCGGTTCGGTTCGGTTCGGTTCGGTTCGGTTTGGTTCGAACCGTGATTTTTTTCATAAAATTCATTAACTGAACCGTTTTTACGGTTCTCATATTTCTTAAACCGAAACTGAACCAATTCTTAATAGAACCGAACCAAACCGTACGATTCGGTCTGGTTCTGTCCAGATTACCAGTTTGAACCGATTTTTGAACATCCCTACCTTTGCTTTTGTTGCCAAGATGACTACTGTCCGTATCTTGATTTCTATTGCTGCTATTCGACATTGGCTTCTCTATCAAATGGACGTTAAGAATGCTATTTAGATTGCCCACAACACTGTCTTCCACGAGCGGACAAAGCACATTAAGATTGATTGCCATTGTGTCTGTCACCATCTGCGGTCTGGCTCTATCTTGCTTCCTTTTGTCTCTTCGGCTTTGCAAGTTGCTGACTTTTTTACCAAGACTCACACCACTGCTTGGTTTTGGCTTCTTCTTGGCAAACTTTCAGTGTTTTCTGCTAAAACACCTTGAGTTTAAGCGGGGGCGTGAGCATATTACATTTCATGTATATATGGTAGTTTATATATTTTGTATATTTTAGGGTTTTTGTTTCCTTTTTTAGTTCTAGGGTTAACTTGCTATATAAACCAATGTATTCTTCTGTTTTATATACAATTGAATATACAGTTTCATTAAGAAAACTTATATGGTATCAGAGCAAGGTCTGAAACCCTAGCCTTCCAGAAGTCTTTTCTGGTTCGTTTGAGTTCTTTGGTTCTATTTTTTTGAATTTGTGCAGCCCATCTGAGCTTGAATTACAACGTATCAAGTTGCGAATCATCTGAGTTCGAATCGCACTCCCCAGATCACAATTCTCTAGTTCGTCTGCTTCAGTCGTCTCTTCGGTTCGTCTAGTCGTTCAATTGGCTTCAGTCATTTGGTTCAACCCTCTCTGGTTCGTTGTTTATCCTAGACTTCGCAACATATCTCTCTTTCTCTTATCCATCGTTGGTTGCCTTCGACGTGGTAGGGTTCGTCATTTGTTCGTGATTACTGATCTTCGATCATTGGTTCCATTCGTAGTTCATCGTCTGCGCAGCCGCCTCTCACGGCGAAGGGTTTGACCAAAGTGACTTGCCTCTTCTCTCTGTTCGACCCATCGGGATCTCTATTTCACTATTTTGGAACTTGATTCAGGTTTGATCGTATCTGACCCACTATGTATATTTATCCCATTTGGTACTGTTTGTTTAGGTGTTTTGAAGTGCCTCTCTTATTATATTTTGACCCTGTTTTGGAGTTACTTCTTTATTATATTTCGACTACAGTTTGTATCTCTAGTTTTGGTTGGACCCATTTGACTTCCAATATTATGAGTGTATTCGTGAACAAGAGGGGGTCATTGGCATTAGATGAGTGTGCCTTCTGCCATCAGAGGGGCCATTGGAAGTATCAATGTCCCAAGAAGGGATGTATGTCTGGCTCGTCTTCTCAGCAGTTTCGAACCTAGTTTTACTCTACTTCTCCAAGTAATTTTCAGGCTCCTGTCGGTTCTACTGTATCTGCTTCAGCTCTTGATCCTGACTTGACTTCCTTAAGTGCTCAAATTAGTCAGTTTCAGCATACACTGTTTACCTCCTAGCCATTTCCGTCTGCCTCCATTGTTTCCTCTTCTCATTCAGGTTTTTCAGGTATCTTTTCGTTGTCTGGATTTTTGACTCTAGTGCCTCTCATCATATGACTCCCCATCTTTTCTTACTTCAAAATTGTACTCCTCCCCTCTCCTATTACTGTTAATGCTGCTAATGAGTCTGGTATATCTATTATAACTGTTGGGTCTATCTTATCGTCTACTATGTCTGTTGTCTCTATTCCATTTGTCCTTTACGTTCCTTAATTATTTGTCAATTTATTATCTATCAGTTAGCTTGATGTCTCCGGTTTTGATGTTATCTTTTCTTCTTCTATCTGTTCTGTGCAGGATCGGATGTCCAAGTAGCAGATTGGGATGAGTCGTAGAGTTGGAGACCTTTATGTGGTGGAGAGCTTACATCTGCCTATGACAACCTCTCCAATTGTTTTTTCCTCTTTTCAATTAGATTCTCTGTTCAGTCCTTTCTACTTGTGGCATTCTAGATTAGGGTACTTGTCTGTTGACCGCTTACGGTCTTTAGCTCAGTCAGGTATATTGGGTAAAGTTTCTCCTAGTGAACTTAGTGAATGTCGATGGTGTAAACTTGCCAAAATGACGGCCTTACCTTTCGTAAAAGTAGTTCTATCTCTGATACACCATTTTTTTTAGTTTATATTGATGTTTGGGGCCCTTCTTCTATTCTCACCAAAGGGGGTTCTGCATACCATGTGTCATTTGTTGATGACTGCACCCGTTACACTTGGGTTTGTCTTATGAGGCATAAGTCTGATTTCTATCAGCTATATTGTACCTTTCAGTCTATGATTACTACTCTGTTTAGGTCTACCATTAAAGTGTTACAGTCTGACTTGGGTGGGGAATATTTTAAAAATGAGTTCTGTGAGTATTTGGCCAATTTGGGTACCATTCACCAAACTTCCTGTACAGATACACTTGCCCAAAATGGTCAAGCTGAGTGTAAACACCGTCATCTCCTTGAGACAGCTAGGTCTTTTCTTCTCTCTGCCTTAGTTCTGGCTCCGTTTTAGGAGGAGGCAGTTCTTACTGCCGCTTTTCTTCTCAACCGCATGCCTACTCTCCGTCTTTCTGGTTAGTCTTCTTATGGGACTTTGTTCTTCCAAATTTCTAATTACTCCCTCCTTCGTGTGTTTGGGTTTTCCTATTTTGTCCTTCTCCGCAAAGATCGGACCAAACTTAGTTCCCAGTTTGTCCCATGTGTATTTTTGGGTTATCGTCTTACGCAGAAAGGCTATCGGTATTACAACCCTGTTTCCCATCGTCTTTATGTCTCCCGTCATGTTTCTTTTCTCGAACGTCTGCCTTAATTTCAGTTTCCTCCTATCACTGCTCCGGTTTCCAAAGAGGATTTGGTTCACATTGATCCATTTCCTTCTGAGGTACATCTCTACTGTTCCCCATGACCTTGCTCCCTTTTCTCCTCCTTCTTCCCTACCTACTCCTCCTCCGCTGTTAGTTTATTCTCGTCGTCAGCCTCTTCCTTCACCAGTTGTCTCTACTCCTATTATTGCTCCTCCTACTTCTGACGACTCTAATCGTACTACACACTAATATCCTACTTGAGCGCATCATCCTCCAAACAGGTTGGGTTGGTCTAATACATGTTTTTCTGTTTCCTATCGTACTTTTTTGTCTGCTATTCATTCTTTTTCAGAACCTCAGTCTTACAAGGAGGCCTGTCAGGATCCCACTTGGATTCGAGCTATGGATGAGGAGTTGTTTGTCGTACATAAATACAATTAAAAAATATAATATTTGTGAAAAAAAACTTTAAAAAATTCACTAAATACCAAAAATGCAAAAAAAATAAATAATGAAAATTTAGTACATTTTTTATATTTTTGTGTATTTATTAATTTTTTAAAATATTATTTCACAAATATTTTAATATTTGGATACATCTAGGTAAGGTGTATCTAAAAAAGTAAAAAAATTGTTTAAAATTTCAAAAATATTCACTAAAAACAAAAAACACAAAAAATTAAAAAAAAAACCCTCAATTTTCAGAAAACTGAGACCAAATACACTAAATATTTTTTAACTTTTTTTATGTTTGTATTTTTGTTAAATTAGGAATTGAAACGTATTTATTAAATAGATGGATTGGATATGTTTGAAGTGGTATTCAATGTTTTTATATAAATTAATGACTATACTAAAAAGTGGCTCAAGTTTGAAAAGTCCCAAACTGATTTATATATATATATATATCTTTTAAAATTTGGTTCGGTTCGGTTTGGTTCGAACCGTGATTTTTTTCATAAAATTCATTAACTGAACCGTTTTTACGGTTCTCATATTTCTTAAACTGAAACCGAACCAATTCTTAATAGAACTGAACCAAACCATACGATTTGGTCTGGTTCTGTCTGGATTACCAGTTTGATCGGATTTTTGAACATCCCCACCTTTGCCTTTGTTGCCAAGATAACTACTGTCCGTACCTTGATTTCTGTTGCCGCTATTCGACATTGGCCTCTCTATCAAATGGACGTTAAGAATGCTATTTAGATTACCCACAACACTGTCTTCCATGAGCGGACAAAGCACATTAAGATTGATTGCCACTGTGTTTGTCACCATTTGCGGTCTGGCTATATCTTGCTTCCTTTCGTCTCTTCGGCTTTGCAACTTGCTAATTTCTTTACTAAGACTCACACCAATGTTTGGTTTTGGCTTCTTCTTGGCAAACTCTCAGTGTTTTCCGCTAAAACACCTTGAGTTTAAGCGGGGGTGTGAGCGTATTACATTTCATGTATATATGGTAGTTTATATATTTTGTATATATTAGGGTTTTTGTTTCCTTTTTTAGTGCTAGGGTTAACTTGCTATATAAACCAATGTATTCTTCTGTTTTATATACAATTGAATATTCATTTTCATTAAGAAAACTTACACCGCCATCTCTCTACACCCCACATAGCACAAGAATTTATCAATTATAGTAAGTCAGGTCTGATATGATTACATCGCCCAGCGAAAAGCCATTCCAAGAATAAGGGTAAAAGTTGGCATATTAAATTAATTAAAGAAGCTTGTTATTATTGATTTGGAAGCTTGTTATTATTGATTTGGCTTTCTCTTCTTTACAATTTTTTAATTCTTATTACATACAATGTCTCCTTACAGATTTGAAAAAAATATAATTTCCTTTTAATATCAGGTTGTTCTTCTGATATTGGCATTTATCTCCAGGCAATTAATTAGATTGCTAATGTGTAAATCAAATTTTGCTGAGGTTGTGTTTTTATTTATTTATTTCTTATTTTAATATATATTTTTTTTTTTATCGGTGTTGTGTATTGCTGCTATATCATTAGTTTGAAACTGCTAATTTAATCATGTTGGAGGTGCTTACTGTTCCAATGTAGGGACATGATTCGGGCTATACGTGATTGCAAAACTGCAGCAGAGGAGCGAGCTGTTGTAAGAAAAGAGTGTGCTGCAATTCGTGCAGCAGTTGATGATAATGATCAAGATTATAGTCATCGTAATATTGCGAAGCTCATGTTCATTCACATGCTTGGTTACCCCACACATTTTGGTCAAATGGAATGCCTGAAGTTAATTGCATCTACTGGATTTCCAGAGAAGAGGATAGGATATCTTGGCCTTATGTTGCTTCTTGATGAAAGGCAAGAGGTACTGATGTTGGTCACAAACTCATTGAAGCAGTATCCAGTCTATGCGCGTTCTACTTTTTTATTGTGTGACTTAATTATTCGGTTTCTTGTCCCTGTCTATTTATGGTGAATAAATTTATCATCAATTACCATCCTTACGGGTTTTTAAGTACACCCCTCCAAAACCTTGACTTATGCACAGAGATCTTAATCACTTCAACCAGTACATCGTTGGACTAGCTCTTTGTGCTTTGGGGAATATATGTTCTGCGGAAATGGCTCGTGATCTTGCACCTGAAGTTGAAAGATTGCTACAATTTCGAGATCCAAATATTCGGAAGAAAGTAAGTTTTTATAATGGGATCCTTTTATAGCCATTTGTCAAGAACTTTATTAACTCCACAAATGCATAAATTGAATTTACACATTTGGATTTCATTGCGGAAGGGTCATGGCAGGAGCACTTGAAAAATTTCTGATGATTAGAAGTAATTACAATTATTCTAGCATTCTTCTTATGAACTTTGCCTGAAGACAATTTAATGGGAGCTCACCTTGTACCTTTGGGAGAAACACTTGTACATGAGAACAAAGAGGAATTTGGTGTATGTATTTTGAAACTGCATAAATTAATTCAGAAGATGCAACTATTTGACTCAATTAGCATGATGGAAATATTGTAATTCCCTTTTGATTGCTTTCAAGGAAAAGAGTCGCACCTTTATTCTACCTATGGCTACCTTTTTTTGGAACCCAAAAATATTCACATTCCTAGCATTTTCCCTTTTAGGCTATGTTTGGTTCATGGATTTGGGAAGTGATTTGAAAAGGAAAAAGGAAAAAGGAAAAAGGAAAAAGGAAAAAGTGCGTGAATTCATTTACATTTCACCTACGTTTTTCCTTTCCCTCTCCTTTTCCGAATCCCTATCCAAATCCTTGAACCAAACATAGTGTTAATGTAGGAAACATAATAAATTTTGAAGTTTATTTATTTTATTAATCAAAATTTTTTATTGTCTTTGATAACATCAAAATTTTTTATGGTCTTGGATGAGATCATCTTATTTCAAAAGGTAAATTCCATTTAAGACTTAATCTTTCCTGAACATCAAATTTTTTATAATCTTGGATGAGATTATCTTATTTCAAAACGTCAATTCCATTAAAAACTTATTCTTTCTAACAAAAGAACAATAAATTTACGTTTGACTTTTTTTTCTTCTCTTGTTTCATTCTTAGAGACAATCGACTTCCTTAGGGTTTGGGGGTTTATTGGTGCTGGAGAAGGGGAGAATTGAAGCCAAGGTATATTGTTGCCTAGGGGTAATATAGTAGGGGTGAAGGTTATGGAGTTGAGTAGGGATCTATTTCTATATCTCATTTCTCCAAAGGAAGAGTCTCACAAGATTTTGGCTAGGAATGATGGGAGGAGTGATCAAAGATCAAGATTTCATTTTAGGTTATTGTTTCATTTAGCACAGAAATGGAAACTTTTTGTAAACATTTCAAAAACATTTTAGAAGCAAGATAAAGAATTTGAAAATATATAGAAATTTTGAAAATGTAAATTGAAATAATATATAGAAGTCTAATAATTGGATTGATTAAGTGAACGTATTGAGATTTATATACTCATTCACATACAAGAACAAATTTTTGTATGTTGTTTACTTTTATTTTAATATAATTGCTTTATTACTTTACTCATTACTTATTCCCATACAAGAACAAATGTAAAATAAAAAAACCAATGTTGTTATGAACCAAAAATTTCAAGTATTTTCAATTTCAAATAACTAAATTTTGTTAAGCACTAGTGTAAATTATTCTAAAAGTGTGTTAAGGTCCCAACAAAATAAAGTCTACAAATTTAATTAGATAGTACGGTGTGTTTAGCTATGTTCTGCTGCGTTCCAATGGAAACACTAGAATTTCATTATTCCACTAGTATTTCGTTTCAGTCCCTTGGAAAACGGAAAGTAGCTCTATGCTTAGCTCGATAAAAGCTTGTAAACATAAAATAAATAAATTAATATTTATTTTTATAATATATCAAATAAAATTTCATTAATTTATTTTATTTTTCTATTTATATTTGTTGTAAATTTAATATTAATATAAGTATTCTTATAAATTTTGCTCATAAATTTTTATTTTATTTTTATCTTAATACTTAAAATTAATTTAAGTTTTTTTTTTTTAAATTTTCTCTCCACAACCGGGGGGCATGCTTGTTTTTTTATTTTTATTTTTTGTATTGTTCTTTTTATTTGTTGTTTATGTTGTTGTTGTCCATTGGTGATAGATATCTACACAACCGGGAGATGGGGTTATTGCTCCCTTTGCTAATAAATGTCCTGGTGATATGAGGTTTTATTTTTTATTTTAATGTTGTTATTTTGTTGTTCTTATTACTGTTATAATGTTTGGTCCATTGGTGACAGCTACATCACCAACGGATGCTCCCCTCACTAATAAATGTTATGGTGATATGAGTTTTCATGCTGGGCAACTGAATGCAGACGCTGGTGCAATTTGCTTTCTTTACAACTGCTGTAATGCTCATGTCTTTTATCACCAGAGTCCCACCTTTGGAAGTGATTCAGGATAGGATGGTTGATAATTTTGAACTTCTTTCTTCTGTTAGAGTCTTGATTCTGTTTCTTTTTCTTTGCAATATGCTCTGCTTTGGCTGTTTTCTTTGGTGAAAGTGAAGTTAAAAGATTGTAATTTGGAAGCTTGAGTTTCTTTACATAATTAGTAGAGTTGACCGTAGGAAATTATGTAATGCTTGATGATTTAATGTTTTTTCATTGTCAACTATCAGGTCACGGGCCTATCTTTGATATTTCTTGTAACTGTGTTTACTTGTTTTCTGTGTAATGCAGGCAGCATTGTGCTCTATAAGGATTATAAAGAAAGTCCCGGACCTGGCAGAAATTTTTATAAACCCTGCTGCTGCTTTACTTAAGGAAAAGCACCACGGAGTTTTAATAACCGGACTCCAGCTCTGCACAGATCTATGTAAAGTCAGTTCAGAAGCTCTCGAATGTTTTAGAAAGGTAACTTGATCATGGCAATATGTTTTTTCATTTTTTGATAAATAAACAAATTTTATTAGAAAAGCATCAAGATGATGCAAATAATACAAAAATGAAGCCTAGAACAGCCCAAAGCCTAACTAATCAAAGCATCTACAAAATCAACAAAAGGTAACACATCCGGATCTACCGTAACCGTAACCCAACTATGAAGCACAGTGAGCAACCGCCACTCCAATCACGGGACCGGCCGAGACACACCATGAAAAATACGCCTATTTCGCTCCAACCCTATCAACCACATCAAACAATGCCCTGCAAGCAACCATTCCTTATGGCGCCTCTTCCCAACCCTCCCCCCAGACCAACTCTGCAACACAGCCAACACCGAACCAATATGTTGTCTATATAACTAAAATAAGGCGAGCATAGTTATGCCATATGAGCTTTACACGAGTCTTTGTTTGTCTAGTATTAATGAAACTAACAAGATAATTATAAAATGCTGTTCTTCTTTTTGTTTATGGTCCATGCTGGAAACAAATCAATATATATTTTGTGCCATGTTTGCTAGAACTTACATCTCTATGTGATTGAACCTTTGAATTGAGATTTAGAGTTAAGGTTGTTTTGTGACTTGGTTAACAAACTCATTTTTTCGTCAAAGATTGATTACCCACGATTGATGAGGTTAATATAAACTACAACTTAGCATTTTTTTTTTTTGGCCAATCCTGAGATGCCATGGTTAGGCTGCCACCCCACCTTTGTTATAGCTCCAACTAGGGCTTCAATGTTTGTTCCTTTGTACCTCCTCTTGGACAGGCAGCAAAGTGCTGCTTACAATGCCATTCTAACTGTTGATGTGATTGCTGGAAATTTTAGATTTTTGTTTGCTGTACTCCTGCTATTATATTTGGTATCTTTTCATTTGTTAATGCATATGTCTTCTCAGCAACTTACACTTGTGAGGCCATGTTCTAACTATTGGAATACAACAGTAATGAATATATCCTTCTCTACTTCATGGTTAAAACTCCAAGTGTTGGACTACTGCAAGGGGTAGTTCTGTTTGTAAGCTTCTCACTTGTTGACTTGTGGCCTATGAGAACCCTTATTCTTGTGCATGTAAAGTATTGGAGCATCCATTATTGTTTAAAGAAGATATTGAGCTACTTCAATGGCAAACGCATCAGATATCCACACAAGATGGCAGTTCAATGTAGCTTAGGTTTTCAATTGCTTTTTCTTTTTAAACTAGCCTTGATTGATGTCTTGGCACATGCTGGTGTGTTATGAAGGCACTTATTGGGTTGTGCCATCAATGCATATGTACTTTTTATTTTACCTTTTTTGTTTTTTCATACAGTTCGGTGTTGTTATTTGAAATCAAACTGCTACACATTTTGATAAAATTATGACTAATGAGATGCGGATCATCCTACAAGCCCAATGTTATAATTGGCACGAGGAGCATAATCAAAGAAAACAAGTACAAGTATGAAAATCATGAGAGCAAAAGGGAACTGTAGCCTACCCTTCTGTAGGAGGCATCAAAATTGGAATCCCGATAAAGAATTATGATACTGTAAAATTTAATGTATAAAGAGAAATAGAGAGAGAATAAATTGTATGTATTATTGATTGATTTATATTGATATCTATTACAATGATTCATGATTCCTATATATAGAAGAAGATAGGAATTTTGGTTATTAATGGCTCTAAAACTACTTTATAAATTATAACAGCATTATAAGTATTATTGCGGGATTCTTGGTAAAGTTTATTAGGAAATCTCTTTGCCATGAAAGAAGGTAATTTTTTGTGTCAGCAGAGTCATTGACTTAATTTTGATGGTGGATAAACTGTCACAAAGGCAAGTTTGTTTGTAGAAATAATTTGACTGTACTGTTTTAGTGCATTTTAAAGGGAGAGAAAAAACAAGGTTGCCAAGTTCCAATTCTCTGGTCAGATTTTTAATGCACAAGATTTACACTTCTATATGATTGTAGAAATGCACAGAGAGTGTGGTCAAAGCCCTAAAGGACATTGTGAGCAGTCCATATGCACCTGAATATGACGTCTCTGGGATTGCAGATCCTTTTCTCCATATCAGATTGCTCAAGTTTTTGCGAATATTAGGCCAAGGAGATGCAGATGCTAGTGAACGGATGAATGACATCCTTGCTCAGGTCAGCTGCTTTGTCCTACTTTATCTCCTGCTATCATTCATGTAATATTTGTTGAAAAATGTAAATTAAATTATTGGCAGTCTGTTCAAACTATTTTATTATTTATTATTATTGTTGTAATTACGATTATTATTATTTAACCAAAAATTCTTTTCCAACTGAGGCGGCAATTTGCTTCCATGTCATGTTCAGTGAATGAAATCTAGATTACTTTTTTTAATATTTTCTTTTCTTATTTCTTATTTCTCTTCATATTCTCTGATTTTGTAACTGTCCAAATTATTACCTGCATTCAATGTTCCCTCATCTGCCTAATACCTTGATCTGCAATTAGTATGTACTTAATGAGAAAAACTACCTTGGCAATCTTCTGTATTGTGTTGTGCTGCTGTATACATGTGTTTTTTAAAATGCTCATTGCTCTCACATACTCAATAATAAAAATCACCTTGTTCCACAATCTCCTTAAATGCTTTGCAGTCTTACATACTATGTTTTTATGCTCCAAGTCTCCATTCGATTAATAGATACTATCTTTTTGTTCTGATGGTGCATGCTCTAATCAGTTATATATATGTAGCATTGTTTTCATTATTCCTTTTATCAGTGTTTAAGTGAATAAGCATATTTTATTATGATTGCTCTTTATAATTCTTGACTGATGGAACTTAGTGCTGAAAGTTCTTGAATATGAATGTTTAGAGAATGTAATGTGTTCATAAGACAAATCCTAATGATACTCGTGACATTCTGTATTCCATCCCCAGGTTGCGACAAAAACTGAGTCAAACAAAAATGCCGGAAATGCCATTCTGTATGAATGTGTCGAAACTATCATGAGCATTGAAGATAGTGGCGGTTTGCGGGTGCTTGCTGTCACTATCTTGGGAAAATTCCTGTCAAACCGTGACAACAATATCAGGTAATTCTTTGTTCATTTTGCGCTAGTCCTATCTTATTCTAGGGCATGATCTTTGTGATTGATATCTGGTCTTTGAGGAACCACAAAATGTATACTTGATGTGTAGCTACCGTTTGCATTAATGCAAAATGGACTTTTGTTAAAGATTGGTTAGAAAAATTTTATATCCGGGGGGCCGTGGCTTGATTGATCTACAGAAGCTCGAGTTGAAAAGCATAAAAATGCGGATTCGAGATTAAAGCCAATTTGTGTAATATGAAATCTGGAGTTTAGTTTGTACCCAGTCTACCTACCTAGCATACTGAATAGTAGAAACATCACTGGGTATTGGCTAATGTCTCCATGGTTGATAAAAATCTGAGCATTGGCTTACATAATTTGTTAAACAGAAGCGCAATTTTGTTTAAGTTTGATTATTTCAGTGCATGGACTTTTCACAGCCTCCTAAAGTGACTACTGATACGTTTACGTTTTCTATTGTTCTCTGGGATCTTTTGGGAACCAAATAGTAGTGACGTGGTCCTTTCTACATTGACCTTTGCAATTGTTTCAATCTTTGTATTCTGTACTTCTATTCTGTTAGTTCATGTAATCTAGATGTGCCCTTATGGTTGTTTTCTGGCTATTTCATACTGGTTAGTTTGTATTGAATCTGACACAGTTGATTCTCAACTTTTCTGTCAGATATGTTGCTCTGAACATGCTGATGAAAGCTACAGTAGATACACAAGCAGTGCAGAGGCATCGAGCAACAATCTTGGAATGTGTGAAGGTATTGTGTAGGAAGGCTTGATATCTAGTTCATTTAACAGTCTAAAGATCTCCAGTTGTATGCATTCTTAGCTGTTATCATTTCTACACCTGGTGGCAGGGGGACACAAGGGCCAAGAGGGGGGAGAACATGGCTCAACTGACTTTTAAAAAACCCTATACCCGGTTTATCAAAGGGACTCTCCTAAAATTATGTGATAACCCATCAATATATATATTTTGTTAAATTTTCATACTAGGTGTGGTCTTATAAGGTTTTATAAGTCAAAACCCTACATGCTGTCCATGCATAAAAAAGATGAACATATTTTTATTTAACCTTGTTCCCGAGAAAATTTAGGAAAAAGAATATTTACACTTCAATTGAATTTAGGAAAATGCATATTTACACTTAAATTGGTTTTATTTTTTGTTAATTACTAATATAACATAAGAACCATGAATAACATGATACTGGAGCAAATTTTATCCATGGATAGCATTATAAGATATTTGAAAGCAAACAAGAACAAGTTTTAAATTATTACATACATATCATGTGATCAAGATGATCTCATTGAGCAACATACACAAATCTCAAAATTTAGAAGTTGAGTTTGCCATACACAATATGTTAAGATAATATGCTCATCACAGCTGTAATGGAGGGAAGATTTGTGTCAACCCGGACTCCTCACAGAGGGTCATGCAAGGTGACTAGTGAAGGGCCACATAAGTGACTAAGCAGAGTGAGATGTCTCTAATATCACATAGTCAAGCTGGTTGAGCTTGTAGTTCTCTGGTGTTCGGAGACTTTCCAGCATATAATATAGGTTTCAAAGCGTCTATGGAATTCAAGTACAAATATGAACCTAAGAGGAGGCAATTCCCATTTCAACATATAAGTAGATACAGTTTCGTAAGCATGTCAGTTTCATAAACATGATGCTCCAATATCTAGTTGTTCACCTCAATCCCTATTTTTGGCGTGTCTATTTTTTTGAGGATGCTATAGTCAAGGCACACATATTTTGATTAGTTCTATTACTCATATGCCTTTATGTATCATGTGCATGAAGTCAAGTCTTATTGGTCTCTTCACAATGTCTAAAGTAGTGGTCCAGGTCCAACTCAAGCTAGGCCAAACAAGACATATAAATACATTCTTCAATGTAATACACTTTGTATTTTTCTCTTCTTTGAGAATCTAGATGGGTTTAACCTAAAAATAGCAAATGTTGCACTTTATGCTCAACAAAGTTGCTATGATCGCGCCAGCGCACACTTCAGTGCTCGAGCGGTGTGAGCAAAGGCAGTGCAAATCATATAAGCAAATTGCTCAAGCATTACTTCTACCGCTCGAGCAGTAACACGAATTTTCCAGAAGTTGTAAATATAGGCTAAACTACTAGATGTACCACTTCACTGCTCAAGCACATAAATGATCGTTCGAGCGGTCAAACAACTTTGGCTTTGAAGGCATTGCCCTTTGACTCTGCTTGGGCAGTGCCCCTTGATCCCTGTACAAGGGCTTAATATGTAATGAGTTAGTACTCTTTTGTTGTAACCAAGTGTTAACTTGGAAAGCTGTAAGCCCGTAGGGCATTTTGCTTTTGTTGTTAACATGTAATACTTTTGTAATGAAACTCTGATGAATAGAAGAATGTGGTTATTTCATATGTCAATGAATGTCCTATTTGATGGGTTTAATGTTATTATTTTGAGGGCGTTACATTAACTATATGTATTGAGTGATTGTATATAGAACCAATGTGTTTGCATACGTTATGTATGGAGGAGGAGATGAGGGATGTACTCCGCGGTTTAGGGGAAGATGGGGGATGTACCTCTAAACCGGATAGTATTGTGAGAAGATCGGGGATGAACTCCGTAGATACAGCTCATATGCTTGTCTAGAGAAGTGAAGATAGAGCTCATATGTTTATCTTTGTGAAGTGTAGATATAGCTTATATGCTTATCTGTGAATGTGGGATATAGTTGTTATACATATCTGTTGAGAATGTGGATATAGCTTATATGCTTATCTGTGAATGTGGGATATAGTTGTTATACATATCTGTTGAGAATGGGGATATAGCTTATATGCTTATCTGTGAATGTGGGATATAGTTGTTATACATATCTGTTGAGAATGGGGATATAGCTTATATGCTTATCTGTAAATGTGGATATTGTTGTTATACATATCTGTTGAGAATGTGGATATAGCTTATATGCTTATCTGTAAATGTGGATATTGTTGTTATACATATCTGTTGAGAATGTGGATATAGCTTATATGCTTATCTGTGAATGTGGGATATAGTTTTTATACATATCTGTTGAAAAAGGGAAAATGAAAAGTAA